GGCGGCTGGCAGCGGCGCGCGGGACCCCGGCTCCGCCCACTACTGCCCCCTGCCGGGCTGAGTCCGAACCCCTTCATTCCCATCAGCCTCCACCCCACGTCACCCCGGGGCAGGGCTGGCCCAGGGGCTGAGCATCTTCTGCCCTCAGTAGGCTCCAGAGTTAACAACCCGCTCTTCTTCACCAGTTTAGAGTGGGATATAAACTCACTCCTTGTCAGCCCCTTTCACCCCATCACCCAGAGGCAGGGCTGACAGAGGGGCTGAGCATTTTTTGCCCTCAGTAGGTTCCAGAGTTAACACCCCACTCTTCCCCACCACCTCAGAGCGGGATTTAAATACACAGAAAAGGCTCAAAAAAGACCATTTTGGCACTTTGTTGTATTTGTCACATCCATGAACCCCACACTGCCCCAGCTGCCCCATCAAGGCTGCCCCAGACGGAGGGGAGAGGGAAGCACCTCCCTCCTGCGCCCTGAAACTCTGTAATTAGACCAGATGGCTTTAATACCTGGCTTGATTGTTAATTAATTAATGACTCCCAGAGCAGTAGCTGGGCTGGGGGTGCCCAGCTTCCCTGGTGCACTGCTACATGTGTGCAAGCGTGTGCAAGCGTGTGCATGTGTATGTGCAAGTACATGCATGTGCATCCATTTGTTGCAAGCGTGTGCATGTGTGTGCAAGTGTGGGCACATGTGTACAAGTACATACAAGCATGCGCACAAGGACATGCAGGTACATGCGCTGGCATGTGAGCACATGAGTGTGCATGCATGTATTCACATGTCTGCAAGCACACACATGAGCAAGCATGTGCATGGGTGCCCATGTTTGCAAGCACCCATGTGAATGCGTGTGCACGGGTGCACATTTGCAAGCACATGTATGCATACATGCGCATGGGTGCACACGTTTGCGGGTGCCCATGTGCATATGCGTGCATGGAAGTGCATAGGTTTGCAAGCACACACATGCACGTGTCGTATGCATGTGCATGAGTACATGCACCTGGAAGTGCCACATGCATGTGTGTGCATGGCTGCATGTGTTTGCAAGTGCACACACACATGTATGTGCATGTGTGTATTTGTTTGCAAGCACATGCATGCATGTTCATGTGTTTACATGTGCACATACGCATGTATGTTCGTGTGTGTTTGCAAGCACACGTATACAAGTATGCTTGTGTGTGTTTGCAAGTGCATGTGCACATGTATGTTCGTGTGCACGTGCTCACAAGCGCATGTACACATGTATGTTCGTGTGTGTGTGTTTGCAAGCAACCATGTATGTGAGCGTGCGTGCTTGCAAGCACACATATGCCTGCAAGCATGTGCACATGGCTGTAAGGATGTGCACATGCACGCAAGCACATGCAATCACACACGTGTCCCAGTAAAAGCCAATGGACAGGGACAGCAGCCACGGTGGGCACCCACGGGTGGGTTTAGGAGGCATGGAGTGTAATCCTGCCGAAATGTGGGGGATCGGCAGTTGTTCTTTGCTGCTGCCTGGGTTTATTTTTACAGCCGTGTGCCCCGGGTGATTCACACACGCTGCCTCTTCTCTGCTCCCTGGCAAGTTGAATGCGACCAAAATAGATCTTCTGGAAGGAAGGGGCCTCGCGGGGAGGCCGTGGTGGGGAAAGCGGGGTGCTCCCGCCCGGCCAATGGGGATCCCGGCCTTGGCAAACGTAAAATCATCGCCAAGACAGTGCAGGCCCCTTGGGAAGTGGGACCCTGGGGTGATATTTAAGCCAGATCATCAAAACCAGGGGTTAGCAGAATGTGCTGGGTTGAGGGTCCCCCCCCGTGCCAGCTGCACCAGTACTGGAGCATCCCAGGGCCTGCAGCACCCAGGAAGGGGACAGGCAGGGTGAGGGCAGGGAGCTGGGATGGGGTGGAGAGCTCCTCGGCACAAACGGAGCAGCACATGGGGAGCAGAGCACTCTCCTTGGGACAGGAACATCCTCCCCAGGAGCAGAGCACCCTTTTCTTTGGGAGAACATCCTCGCCGTGAGCACAGCACCCTTCTTGGGGAGCAGAACATCTTCCCTTGTCCCAGTCTCACCCCCAGCAGCTCCATCCAGTAACAAAAGCACCCGGCAATGGTACCAATTTATGCTGAACTAGGGGGGTGGGGGGTAGCGGGGGGAAGAGAAAAAGAAAAAGCAACTTTTAAAATGAGGAAGTGAAAAAGTGAAAATAACCCCCTTCCTCTGGGCCTGCCACCCCCTCAGAGCCAAAAGCTCTGATCAGTGGGTGCGGGAAGAACCAGGCAGAAGTGGCCACACAGACATGGAGTCAGTATCAAGGTGGACCAGAAGATAAAAAGCTTCTGCTCCACAAATCCCTGAGGCATTTGTGCTGTAGAGCAATGCTTCTCAAAGCCAACCCCTAAAGATGTCATGGGGACACTGGGTGGCATCAGCAGGGACTCAATGCATCTTCCCCCAGGAAACGGGACATGGGAAGACAGCTCTTCCCCTCCCACCCTAAATAGGGAGGAAAAAATATCCCTTTTTCCCCCAAATCTGGCTCACCTTCCCTGCTCCAGGGTGGCTGGGCTTCACAATATTTTTTTTCCTCCTCTTTAAGATGTGTCACTTCAGAGGAGCAGCATTTGGGTATCCCTTCACAGGAGGGTAAAGAAATACAAGATTTCACAATTTCTGAATATTTTAAATTCAAATTTAATTCCATATTTTTTAAATTAAAAGTTCAATAGTAAAAACATTTCCAATCAAAACAGCAGATCTCACTTATTTAAGATCAAGACACACAGTACCACCAGCCAGGATTTCTCCCCATTCCAGCTGGAGATGGTTTCCAGCACCACAACCCCAACTGTTGAAGGACAAGAACCACAACCGTTCCAGCTCTGCAGGACATCACCACCACCAGTCACTTCTCCAAGGAAAACACCATCCAAACCTGGTCCCTCTGGATTTTGGAGACCTGGAGCTGAGCTCCCCACCTTGAGGACAACAGAGCAGGAGGAGGATGGATCAAGTTGGCCAAATCCTGAGCAGAAGTGACAGCTGATTGAAGAGCAGAGTAGTGATTCTGTAACATCCACACTCTGTTCTGCTCAGCGGGTTTGAGGTCTCCTTGGAGAGGCTCCAGGGTGTGGAGAAACCAGAGAAGGTGGCAGCAGACAGGGTTTAAGGGTTTCTTCTTCTCAGAAGCCAGAAGAGTTGGTGGCAGCAGAGATGGTGGCTTATAAACAAGGTGGGATGCTGCTCTAACATCCCAACACCAACACCTCTAGAGCAAGCCCTACCCATCTCCTGATTACAAAAACCCTTGCACAGTCTCCCAAGCCCCAGCTGAGCATGAAAAGGCACTTTTTACCTCTTGGGGGTTATTTATTTATAGATTTAAAGAAATAAAAATAGAAAAAGAGGCAAAGAGTGCATGCTAAGGCAAAAAAAAAAGTTCATTGCAACAAAGCAAGAGCAGAAGTTGAGGGAAAGGGTCCCTCTGCTGAGCCAGCAGCTTTTGAGAGAGAGAGGGATGTTCCTCCTGTGCACGCAGTGACCGAGGGCAGCAGGACTCTTCATTTAAAACCCACTGAATTCATTTTCACAGTATCCTACGTAGAGAGGCTGCGCCTGGACACCGCGCCTGGAAAGAGAGCAGAGAGATGGCATTAGGCAGAGCCCATGGTCAGGTTGGAGTGGTGACAGGAGCATGGGTTGGCTATCAGTGCCCTGTTTCAGGTGTGACAAGGAGGGAGCAGTTTTCATCCTGCACTTATAGACTCGGTTTTTTGCTCGTGTGACGGAGGACAGGGTCAGGGTGGGTTTCCTGGTGCTGGAGGAAGGGCAGCAATAGGTGATGGGTCCCCAATGCCTCAGCACGAAACCCTCCTCCACAGAGGCACCAGCCCACGCTGACAGCAGGGGCTCTCTTCCAGCACTGCGCAAAGCAGCTCTGCCCACGCGCGGGCAGGAGAAAAGCTCGGGATTTTCAACAAGGGTCATTTTCCACCAGGAAAAATCCACTTCACCTTCAAGTTACTAGTTATAGCTGCATCAGAGAGTAAACTGGAATAGTAACTCAGCTCTACTCCAACTTCGGAGATGCTGCCTTCCTTGATTTCCTAGTCCCCAATGATAAATTTGTACAGTTAAAAATCCTGCTGGAAAAAAAATACTCCAAAGAGGTTTTATTTTTTGAGAAATTAGTTAGAGGACATTGAGATTAACCTAGCCTAATAATCTACAGAAATCTATAAAAATGAGAAGGGCATGGACGTTCTCATGCCACCTCTTGGCCATGTTCTTTGAGAAAACAGAACATGCTTTGTTTTTCATTATTTTAGTCACCTTGCACTGTGACACTCAGATTTTGGCTTTCTGATTCAAATTTGAAATGTATCTGGATCAGAAGATCTGCAAGTCCAAAGTTCTTGTGAACTCCTTATTTTTGGCCAGCTACAATAATGTCTATAATAGAATTATCCTGCTTCCATTATAATCTCGTTTACATTTTCATGTATATTTAAAAATCTTGGCTGCTAAATACACTTTAGACAATGAGAAATTTTTTAATTTTTTCAACCTCTACTCATAATAAAGATATTCAAGTCTCTCAGCATACAAGAAGCTGACACGTTGCTAGATTTGCTACAGTTTCCCTCCCTGGGATCGAACCCCGGAGAGGGTGGCATGGGTGCTGAACCCACAAGCCAGCGTCCAGCTGGGAGGGAGGGAGGGTTACCGGAGAAGCTTGCAGCGGAAGTCGGCCAGCCGCACATAGGCATCTTGCAGGTCCCTCACGGTCACGTTACTCCACAGTCTCTCCGCTATGGCCCCAGCTCTTGGCCTTGAGGAATGAGGGACAGAAAGAGTCAGGTCAGGGGGGAGATGGAAAGCTTCTCACACAGAGCTCTGAGCTGCCAAACACTTCTGAGTGACGTCCTTCAGCACACAAAGGCAAGAGGCTTCAAGAGATCCACTCCTAGACACGTGTGGATCAGGAGTGAAGCAGGGTGACAGGACAAACACCAGCATTACTGGTTGCAGCAGCAGGTTGTTGCATGCTAAGAGTCTTACAAACCCTCATTTAAGCTTCAGCGAAGCTGCCACCAGCACAGAGGTGCTGCCAGGGGACAGGGACAAGCACCACGCGCAGAGGAAACCCACAGCGTTCGGCACACGTCCAAAGGGAACCGCCCCAAGTGACTCCAGCTGACTTCCCCACATCTTCTCTTACCAGAGCCTGGGGGTCAGGTTAGTGACATCCACGTATTCACCCCACATGCAGGCCTCTCCGCCAATCACCAGATCCTTCTGCTCAGGGCCACCTACCAGAGGACACAGTGTTCAGGTGAGGAGGTGCTGTAAATAACAGGGTGATTTATTGCCCTGCCTGCAGAGACACCTGTAACTGGCTCAGCTACAGAGGCGGTAACTCGCCCTTCTGGAAGCCCCCACTTCAAACCCTGGGCTGAGGGAGAGCAGAGTTGTTTTATGCCAGCAGCAAGGGAACAGGACATATCACAGGGATGACTGACAGTCACTCAAGCACCTTCACACCAGCAGCAAGAACAAATTAGTGAGACACACAGTCCTGGCGCTACCTCCAAGTGACAAGTCAGCTCTTGTACAGGAAGGGGTCACAAGGAACGCACCTTCAAACTCCAAGGGCTCCACCTGGTAGGCCGCCATCCAGTCCTGCCCGTAGGAGATGCGGTTGAGGTACCAGGGGGCAGAGAGCAGAGCCCGATAACCAGCCTTGGTGACATTTGCCATCTCCTCCATGTATGGTGTGGAGTGCTCCTTCCACACATGGACAACAGTGTCTGGCCTCACCTGAAGAGCACACGTGAACGCCATGCATGGGATCAGTGCGGCAAGAGGAGCATCATCTCCAGAGTGCCCTGACCCATCCACAGATCCAAACACCCCCAAAGGGAAACGGACACAGACATTGGCTTGACTGTTGAGCCTCTTCCCATCTGGTTTGCAGAAGCAACAGAGGGAGTGGCTGAGGGAACTGAGGTTGTTGAGCCTGAAGAAAAGGAGGCCGAGGGGAGACCTTCTCACTGTCTCCAACTCCCTGCAAGGAGGGTGTAGAGAGGTGGGGGTGGGTCTGTTCAACCAAGGAACAAGTGACAGGACAAGAGGCAATGGCCTCATGTTGCACCAAGGGCATTTGAGATTGTATCTGAAGAAGAATTCATTTCCTGAAAGGGTTCTCAGGCATTGGAAGGGGTTGCCCAGGGCAGTGGTGGAGTCCCCATCCCTGGAGAGATTGAAGAGTCGTGTAAACATAGTGCTGAGGGACATGGGTTAGTCGGGGACTTGTCAGTGTTGGGTTAATGATTGGACTCAATGATCTTAAAGGGCTTTTCCAGTCGAGGCAATTCTGGGATTCTGTAAGAGATAAGCCCCTTTGCAGATTTTCCTGAGCAGGGTTAAAACCTGCCTCTTGCTGGTAAATACACAAAAACCTGGAAGGAAAAGCCTGTCAACAGCAGTCTGGCAAAGCCATCATGAGAGCAGCTCACTGGCAGCACCATCTCAAGATCAATCCCAGTCCCATAACAGAGAATCCCCCACTAACCCCAGCATGGCACCCCCAGAGCACACCAGTGCATTGAGCTGTGTTCACCACAGCAGAGGGAACTGCGTGAGGCAAAGCAGGCAGCTCTCACCTTCACTCTGTTGTCAAACACCTCCTGCCACACAATATAACCTTTGCCAAGGGAAGAGACGATGTCCAGAAGCCTGGAGATTGAAAGAGTAGAGAGTTCTGGGTCATCCCAACTAACGCCCCTTTCTTTGCTGGTTGCGCACAGCCAAAGCAGCAGCATCAATATTTCCAACAGGCACAGCAGGACATAAGGTTCTTCTGAAGAAGGGAGAAAGCACGGGTGCTTACAGGGCTTCTTTCTCCTCAGCCCCAGGCTTTTTTGTGGACAATCTCCCAATAAAATGTGGCTAAGCTACTGCCTTTGGGGTCAGAGAGACAAGCTCAAATGGGCATGCTTCTGAAAAGGATATATGGTATCCCCAAGACAGCAGAAGACATTTGTGCTGGTCACACACTGCAGCTGCAAGATACAACAGTCCTTACCTCTGGATATAAAATGACTCTAATTTTTTGTAATCTTCACCAAAGCCCATCTCCTTCATGAAGGCACGAATTTTTGGATTGGATTTCCTGTGTACCAAAGAGAAGAGAATAAAAGCACTGCAAGCTGAGCTCTGGAGTAAGGCCAAGACATGGTCAAATCCTTCCCACATCAGCCTCAGGTATTCCAAAAGCTGTGGCTGTGCTGGCACCAGTGGCTTCCCACAGCCAGCGTCACTGTGAGCACAGAAACCCCATGAACCAACACACAGAGCTCAGGGGAGCAGGACACCAAATATCTGCAGATGATCATGGCCAAAAAGCGATGGGCTGGGACTGCAGACACAGATTCATCCCCCCAGTTCCCATCCAGATTGATCTCAGACTCACCAGCATGTGAAATCCACCTCATCACCACCAAGGTGAAGAAAGAAATCTGGGAACACAGTGCTGATCTCTTGAAAAAAACTGGTCACAAACTGGTAGGTGCTGTTAAGGATGGGGTTGATGGGTCCGTAGCTCCCAGAAGGATACTTGCCCAAATAGCAGGGAGTCAGGAGGCCCGGAGCACCTGGGTCATAACAAACAGAGGATGGTGAATAAGAGGCTAAATGAGGTCGTATCATCCTGTATAACCTCCTGGACCCTCCTCAGCATGGCCCTGGGCCTGCCAGGGGACAGAAAATCCGGGCATGGCACACAAGGCATAAACACAACAGCAGAAAAATGATCTCTGGCTCAGGAAGCCTGACCCGAGGGGGGGGATCTGCATTCTGCGCTCGTCTTGTGCTCCCCTCACGCACATCCACTGCTGCCCCAAACACGCACTCCCAGGTTAGATCAGATCTTGAGCCTTTTAGGCTGGAAACCCTTTTTCCCACCCCCACACCTACTCTGAGGACAGGACACAGACACACCAAATCCTTGCAGGTAGTTTCCACCCTTCCCAGGTTTCCCCTTGGTATCTCTCATTGTGGGACCCACTGCTTTTTTTTGGGAGATTCCTACAGGAAAGCACACACAGAGCTGCTGGGGAAAGATAATGCCAATGCCATTCCCAGCACCCTCTCCCAGCTCCACACACCCGCTGGAGATGGGGAAGCAGGGGCAGCCACAGTTTTGACTGTGACCACAGGCACACGGCATACTCCAGAGTGGCATTTGGAGGCAGGGGAAGGAGACAGCAAGACAAGACAACATTTTGTCTGGAGCTTTTCATACTTCCAGACGTGGAAGAGGAGGCACTTGCAGTCCTCGGAGCAGGGAGCACTGGGGCACAGCTGAGCAGAGCAACAAAGCTTGGTCAGCTGCACCACCAGTTAAACTCAAGATCTTTGCAATGACGTTGGTTTTGGCAGAGCAGATGTTCCCTCTCCAAAAAAAACATAAATAAATCACCCAGCTTGGACGTAAGAAGACATGGAAATGTTTTCCCTTTGGATTTTGGTCTAGAAATTGGACCACTGGGGTCCTGCTTCCCTCAGATGATGGTTTACTCTTCCTCATAGCCAGTCTCTGGGACATGGCTGCCCACACATGTTTTTTGAGATCCAGGTTGCAGATGCTCTTCTTCCTCGTGGTACAACTACAACTCTTCTCAGAGTAGCAGCAGGAGGGTCTACTCCTACCTGGACCCCAGGAGAGGGTGTGCCCAGGAGTGTCAAACTCGGCAATGACTCTGATGCCACGCAGCCGGGCATACTCAATCACTGTCTGCACGTCACTGGCTGTGTACACGTGGGTCATGGCATTGAAGGCTCCCTGGGGGAGGACAGGAAATCACAGCGCTTTGCTCAGGTGCCAAGGGAGGGATCTGCTCACCCTGAACTGGGTGCTACGTGGTGACTGGGGTGTGTTACCTGCTTGCTGAGCTCTGGGAAGGTCAAGCTCTCGTAAGGGAAAGATGGGTCATCCACAATGTGCCAGTGAAACACGTTGAACTTGTTGTAGGCCATGACATCCTGGGAAGGAATAGGAACAATGATGAACATGCCCCATCCCTTCTGAAAGGTCAGACAACTTGCCACAGAAAGGGACCCGGGTCCCTGTGCTCCAAAAGGACAAGGTAAGTAGAGTCCCCAAATGCTCCCCAGGATCCAAGAGGCATTCAGACACCTCTCTTTAAACACCTCAGCACCACAAAGAGCTGCAGAGGGCCAGCAGCGCTTCTGCTCACAGTAAATTCCCTGCTCTCCCTATAACTGAACCAATGGCGGAGACCTGGAAGTTTAATCCTGCTTGGGATGAACACAGAACCACCACCCACCTTCGTCTAACAAGGCGGGGAAGAAGCCAGTGTTCTCCCTTGCCTCAGAAAGAAAGTAAGCTGGGTTGTAGGAATCCAAGACAGCTCATGGTTTTCTTCCTTCTCTCACTTACAAAAACAACTGAGAAATCACTCAAGTGAGGCAGCTGTGAGTTACACCAGGAGCAAACACAGCCATGGGAACTGGGAAGGATCTACAGCACGGAAGCATTTTTCCATGATGCATATCTGTGGACTAAGAATTGAGGTCATGCTGCCATCCCGCCCCAGCCTGCTGCTTCAGCTAGGGACAAGTAAGCTGGGTTTTGTGGTTTGTTTTGGGTTTTGTTTTGGTTTTTGGGGTTCTTTTTTTAGAAAGTGTAGGTTTGACAAGCTCTTCCTTGATGAGATGTAGAAACAGTGGCCTATGCACTAGACTGTTTATAGGATCTTCAGAAAGGAGCAAAAACCCCAAAAGCCCTTCAGTGTACTCAGGGAACCCTCAGCTGTCACAGAGGAAGGGACACCTAACAAAACCACTTTGTCTCCCAGCACAGGCACCCTACCAGAGTTTCCAGGATGGCTTTCAGTGGCAGGTAGTGACGAGAGGTGTCCAGCAACAGTCCCCGGTGAGGAAAGCGGGGAAAGTCCACGATTTCTGTCTTGTTGATGTAGTACTGCATACAAAGAGCACAAAGAAATAGTGAGCAGGGCTTCAGGCAACACAGACATTAGCAGGAGAGAACCAGGGTCACCTTTCATGGAATCAAAAAATGGTTTGGGTTGGAAGGGACCTTAAAGATCATCCAGTTCCAACCCCCCTGCCATCAGCAGGGACACCTGCCACTAGACCAGGTTGCTCAAAGCCTCATCCAGCCTGGCCTGGAACACTTCCAGGGAGGAGCAGCCACAGCTTCTCTAGGCAACCTGGGCCAGTGTCTCACCACCCTCACAGTAAAGAATTTCTTCCTAATATCTAATCTAAACCTACCCTCTGCCAGTTTAAAGCCATTTCCCCTTGTTCTGTCATTAACTGCCGTTATAAAAAGTCCCTCCCCAGCCTTCCTGGAGCCCCTTCAGGTACTGGAAGGCCACTATAAGATCTCCCTGGAGCCTTCTCTTCTCCAGGCTGAACAGCCCCAACTCTCTCAGCCTGACCTCATAGGAGAGGTGCTCCAGCCCTCGGATCATCCTCGCGACCTCCTCTGGACTTGTTCTAACAGGTCCATGTCTTTCTTGTGTTGGGGGCTCCAGAACTGGACAGAGCACTCCAGGTGGGGCCTTACGAGAGCAGAGTACAGGGGGAGAATCCCCTCCCTTGACCTGCTGGCCACGCTGCTCTGGATGCAGCCCAGGACACGGTTATTGGCCTTCTGGGCTGCAAGCGCACGCTGCTGGCTCATGTTGAGCTTCTTTCTCCCCAGGGCCAGAAGAATGAAGAGAGGTAGCCAGACTGCTCAGCAGGCAAGCTAGCCAGAAAGAGCTGTGATGCTTTATCCGCTCAGGAGTCAGGGATCTGGCTAGATTCACAAATCCCTACTTGGCCCTCAGTGAGGCTGCACTGCTAGTATCCCCCTCATCCCGAGCATCCCAGCAATCCTCAGCCTGTCCCCATTAGGGAGAGCTGACTGGCCCCAGGAGATGAGGCCAGGACTCACCGTGCCATTCTCATCTCTCTCGACGAGCTGGCTGAAGGTCTCCAGGCCTGCAGGAAAACCACACACAGTCACTTTCTCAGCAGAGATTCCCCCAAAGGAACAGAACTCAATTAACAAATAAGTCTATGGAAAGAGAGAGGCACATCCCCACAGGCTTGAGGCAGGGAGAGCAGAAATGCCCCACAGAAAGCACACCTCACCTCTGAGAGCTCCCCAGACGGCATCCGCAGAGAGCAGCAAGGAGCCTTCTGAGACGGACAGCTTATCTGAAACACAGCATCAGAGCAGTCTGTGCTGGCATCAGCTCCCACACTCCATCACATGCTGCCATGGGCCACGACAACCCCAGCTACAGGGTTGCAGCAGCATCAGGTTGAGGTTTTGCTACAGGACTGCACCTTGGGATCCCAGAGAACCCATTTTAGGGTTTCTTTTTTTTTATTTTCAACCTCTCCTACTGCTTTATCAGCATCCTCAGGTAAATCGCTCCATCCCTACCCCAGTTTCTCAACAACACAGTGAGGATGCTGCCTCCCCAAAATGGGGGTAAGCGCTGCACAGTGCTATTTCTAGCTGATGGGGACAGAAACAGTGGCAT